AACTAGGCTTCAGCCTAGGGCCTCAAGATCAAGAGGGGCCTACATTCAAATTGTTAGCAAAATTACACTATTCTAAAAACAGTGAACACTAAAACACTGAACCGAAATTCTACGCATATGACTACCGTAATAAACAAACATAAAAATGTATTGGTTAAGATCGTTCCAGCGCCGTGGCAGTTGGGGAGCCCGCCCACTTTCCTGGCACCGGTGGTCAGGCGAGAGGCACGGCCGCTCCCAGTAGCCGCCCCGTCGACGCGGAGCCCACCAGCGGCCAGGCAGGTGAGGGCGAGGGGGGCGAGCCGGGCAGCTGAGCGCAGCAGGGGAAGCGGCTGGCCTCCTCCAGTCACGTTGTCTCAGGAACTCTGGCATTGAAGCATGCAAGTCTTAAAGCTGTCAAGTTACAAGATCCTTGCACCTCTAACCCTTTAGCGGTGGTGGGTTTCAAAAATTTTTGGAACCTCTTCTGTAGGTGTGGCCTGCTTTCCGGGTCCACTGGTGGAACCCGGTAGATTTGACGAACCGGTTCTACTGGATAGGTGCGAACTGTTGGGAACCCACCTCTGGATCGAACGCACTGCCTCCTGATTCTGAGGCGAGAACTCCAACTCTGGGCCACCGCACCCCTCAGCCATCTTCCCAATACACAGTGTCAAGGAAAGGTGGAAACTTACAGGTTCCAGATTTCAGGGCGAGAATGCAGATGAGGGGGCCGGTGACAAGGTGCAGACAGTTCAGAGGCCTTTTCCAGTTTTGGTCGTCCCGGTCAGGATCAACAATAGGTACGGTCAGTAAAAGGACCAATTCCACAGGAAGCTGTAAGGAGAAGGAACTATCAACAAGTTGCCCAGACTAGAAATTGTTCTGCACTTCTGCAGAAGGCAGGACTAGAACTCCCAGGCTCCTGGTTTCTGAACCTGACGCCTTAACCATTAGTTAGAGAGGGCCTTATTGGTGAGAAGGGGAAAAAAAATATGGAAGCTTTTCTGATTGAGGGGTTTGGGGTGCTCCCTTGGTTGTTTTCTTGCAGACGTTTCATTACCAAACTAGGTAACGGCGTCAGTGCTAGAAAGGAATGGGAGTTGCAGAAAGGAGAGATAGAAAGGGAAAGAGGTGGGGGTGGTGGTGGAGGTGGAGGAGGAGGAGGAGGAGGAGAAGGAGGAGGATTGCTGGATCCTTAATGCTCTGTGAGCTTGGTTGTTTTCTTGGAGACGTTTCATTACCAAACTAGGTAACGCCATCAGTGCTAGAAAGGAATGGGGGTTGCAGAAAGGAGAGATAGAAAGGGAAAGAGGTGGTGGTGGAGGAGGAGGAGGAGAAGGAGGAGGAGGATTGCTGGATCCACCCTCCACCCCCGTATTCCTCCTGTGTTTCTTCTAGAAGGAAGAGAAAGGAAAGTCACGAGCTTTTGTTTTGGCTTCAAGAAAGGACAATAACATAAAAACTTGTCGGTCTGGTGCTTTGCCAGAGTTTAACAGGAACTCTCTCTAAATGTCCATTCAGCAGAAACTAGGTTGGATCTGGAATGAAAATCGATGGGAACAAACAGGAGAAAGAAAGAAAAAAAAATTCTCCTTTAGTTTTACGGTGGACAATTTGGAGTTTCTAAGCATCTTTTTTTTTATTGTTAAAAATGTTTTTATTTTCCATTTTCCATTTTCACACAGTCACATATATACTGTGCATAACCGGGGCCATACAACATTAAA